ACTCAAGCGGTCGAAATCAAAGGTGTGCCCTGGCGAGTATGAGAGGGCAGCTACCAAGAAAAGTTCATCTTTTCATCACACAGCGGGCTCGTGTTCGCGCAATCTCGTGCGGACCTGTTTGTCGGTTTCACCAACATTGTTGGCATTGCCACAGTTGCATTGTACCCGGTAAACTATATCGGATGTCTTATTGATGGGTGTTGGTTTCCGACTCCCATTGTGGGCTGCACAGTGGGTGTGCAGGGGCCAAATTGGGCTCACAGTAAGCGATAATCAGATTGCACAGAGTCCGCGTCAACCCATAACTACTGCCGTACACAGGAGGGAAGCGGTGGCATACCTGGACGTGGGCCTCCGCGTCGTGTCAGCCACTGGTGCCTCATTTCAGCACCGGATGGTCGACAGGCTCAGACGCGCGCATGGGAGGAAGGGGAATTGAGGCTAGTGCTGGGGAACACATCCCCACGACAAGTCGGCGCATCTCCCACTATAGTAGGTCTTACGCGCTAAGAGTCACGACTACGAAGACTGACTGCTGATGGGATGATAACTCAGTCCTCCTCTCAGAACCGAGGGCCCGGCTGAAATGACTCCCTCTACATGTGGTCTTTGTGGCATTCTCATACATGTAAGACCTTGGCCGTCCTTATTTCAACATGGCACATCTCGAGAGAGAGAGAGAGAGAGGGCCTATTCGGGTGTGACACGCGTAAAACTCACCGCTGTTACGGTGCGTGACCGATCTCATGGAAAGTTGGTCGAAATTCTGAAATGCGTTTTTGACTAGGAAGGATTACTTAGGTGGGGTTGTAATACTGACTACCTTGCAGCATAATCCGATGATATTTCGGACTTGGCAGGATGTCGGCCTTTAAATACATCTCTTTTCAACCTTATATATAAACCGTACTAGGCAAAAATGACTACTTAAGTAGCATGCACTTTTCCACACTGATTTTTGATGCTCCTATAAATTCAAATTTATTTTACAAAAAACATGAACAAAAATATTTTTCTTTCACTCTTTTGACGGAGAATCATGTAGTCAAAAGTCGCCATCCTACCGAGTCCAAAATATTATAGGATTACGCTGCATGATAATCAGTATTACAGCCGCGCCTAATTAATCCTTCCTAATCGAAAACGCATTTCAGAATTTCAGCCAAGATTTCATGAGATCGGTCACTCACTGTAGATCTACCTCTTTAGGCTGCAGCGGGCGCCGACACTTACGGTTATCGACCTACCATATACGTTCATGCAATTTTGCGAATTTTATTCGCATTGGTATGCAGGACAGGTTCCGCCCTTATTGCCTTCATGCTTACATATGTTTCCCTCTCTTTATCTAACCCTTTTCGGAGGGTTCACTGCTGTCAGTTACGTCTACAAAACTACACGCCACCCTTGCCTAGTACCTGGTTGATTTACTGCTTGTGGAAATATGCCATTAAAGCCTTTTTCAGTAAAATGTTTTGGGCACTTTGGCGAATGTCTGATCAAATACTTTTAGCTGCGCACTTGCTCACTGTGCAGAACGTTCCTCCGTTAGTAACGGCAGCAAATTTCATCATATATCATGTCTGACCAAACATGCGCGCCTGGAACTCTTCAGACCTTCGCTCTCAACCAGTTATGCCTTCGGTTGCTTATTCCTTGATTCTTTCCTTCGACCCTACCTGTAATTTTATTACTAAAGCTGAAACTTCTACGTCTGAATACTTTGTATCTGACCTCTGGAATTCGGAACATGGAGGTATAGTTCTCACCACCTAATAAGCCTGAGCCAACATCGGTCAACGTTTCATCATAGGCGCCCCAGTATTCCTTCCCACCCCACCGATCACTACCCCTGGCTTTCTTAGAAGTGAGAATGACGTCCCTGGATTCGCTAAATAGAATCGCTTTGACACAGTGTTTAAGTATTGTCCACATACGCGAAAGACAAAAGGTCGGACTGGCAGTCAGCAGTGATTTTATTTGTACACAATAGCTGCAACAGTCGGACAAAGCAAATCTTGGCACACAATTTGCAAGAGATGAGGTCTTGGGCCGCTGCGACGTGTGTGTTTAGAAAATGACGTTGTCAGGTAATCCCAGATCCAATGTCGGTTATATAAAGAAAACTTCAGCAAAACTGTAGCCAAGTCCAGCTTGATATCCTGAACGGAGAGAAGCATGTTCGCACATACTCAACTTATCAAAGAATTCTTGCATATGTGCACACATGTAGACAGTTGGCTAGGCGGAGATATACTTATATAGGTCCCTTTAAGTATATTTGTATGTTGCTCAAAATATTCAAAGTAACAAAAGTACAAAAGTGACGTACTGCGCCGGGGTGGGGGGAGGGCGGCCAGGGCCAGGAAATAAAAAGGATTCACCGATGCGGTTGGTACAAACAACTGAGCAAAGAAGACAACGCTTGGGGGTGGCCCCGCTACCGTGACGGGGCCAGTGCTGGAATTTAAATGAAACATCCGGGTGCGTTCACAAAGTCAGAAGGAAAAAAGTTAACAAGATACAAACTAATATAATATTTAAGCTGTGTTGAGGCTGAGGATGACGATGATAACGACGGGTGAGAGAAGTATGTGAATTAACCGGTGCGGAGCGATAGATATGTTATTTGCGCGTTCGTAGGAAGGGATGACTAGGGATGATTTGCATGGAGTACGGGAAGAGATATTGCACAGCGTTACACTGTAAGGGCAAACGCATACACAAACCAGTTCGTCAAAAAAGGAAAATTAAAAAGTGCGTGTATTAAAAAACACGCACATGCGCACACGCACATAAAGCAACCCCTATGTCTAGTCGAAGGCGGCGCAGATGGCAGGAATTGGGGCAACACGGATCGATAACGACATGTACGTGTTAGCGCGCACGCAGGTGTGTGCGTGCGGATCTACTCACTTCTTGGTGTGCCTTTAAGGGCACTAAGTGAGAAGCCAAGTTGGCCGGCATCAAGGAGCACCGGTCAGATAAATGCATTCATTTATAAAGGTATACGCTACTGCGCTTCGTAGGAAAGGCAAAGTTGAGAAATAAAATGCTCGTAGTAAAAGAAGGGGTCACCGGAAGCACATGCGCAGGCATGCCTGCGGTGTTTCACGCAG